CAAGAATAACCTCAAGATACCTCAGATTCCGAGACGGCACAATCAACAAGGTATCAAGACTTTATAATGTTTTCTTGCCCATACAAAAATAAGTACCTATATTGTCCCTTTAAAATTATTGTAACTCATATTTTTAAAGCAAACCATAAAAATTCTCACTTCATTGTCATCCAAATTACTGACATTTCAATTTACTAAATCCCATTTTATCGATAAGCGTTACAACATTTCTAGTCAACAATTACACAAATTATATTTATTATTTAGGTTTTTGTTAATTAATAAAAAAACTATTGAATATTTATAATAATTATTAGGCCTTCAGTCTTGAGTAAAATTATATAGGTGTATGTTAAGTAATGAATTTAAAGTATCATTCGTTTGTGTCAAAAATCAACATTTCAACATTTTGTTTAATTTAACATATTTTTTTATTATTATTTTAAAAGCAATAGCATAATAATTGTCACCAAAATACTGTCACTGGGTTAGGTATCTTTTTCAACAGATAAACATATCATTATTAAGTGTAATATTCTTTTTATCGCTTATTTTTATTGTACCATTAATGTATCATAAGCAAATACTAGATTGTATGTGTTTTAAAAATAAAAAATAAAAAAATAGTTATGTTATATATCATTGTAGCGCCTGAATTTATATGCATTAAGAATCTATAAAATATGCGAATTCATATCATAAATATGCAAAATCATTTTTGTACAAATTAATACACTATACATTATACAATTTTGGATAAAAATATTCAACAATTTAAATATAGGTATAAAACAACTAATTAAAAAAAATCCAAAATAAAATTGTTTAATGAAATGTACAGTATATTGTGTACTGCACTACTGCTATCTAATTTAGTCGCGTAATTAAAAATGTATTACTAGAAAATCCAATATTTTTCGTTTTTCATCAATGTACATTATCATGGATTATTAATTATGATCAACAGTAGGTATTTGTACAGACATTAATGTGACTATTTTAATGAACGAAGAAATAATTATAATGATTATTTTTTGTTTTTTTTTTAATTATTATTAATGAAATAATCCTCGGAAACTTGGCCATTGGGATAAGATACATTTTTTTTTTTTTTTTGAAAGGTGTTACATAATAATAAAGAAAAAGTTTAATCACAATAACAATAAATGCCTAAATTATATGAGAATAATAATAATAATAATAATAAGGTTGTGTCTTATTTTTTTTAAATGATTAAATAAGTTTGTCCAGTCCTGTCTCCTGGAGAAACACGAATATGGACGATGATTGCAGAAAAGATCCTTGTATATATAATGATTATATTATTATAATTATTACTGTAGAATATACAATATTTATGCAACTATCAAGAAATATGCAATTAATATGCATTTTCATTAAAATGTGGAAAAATATGCCAAAAAAAATTAACCATAGAATCTACACATTACGAAACGTCAATATTTGTAACTAAAATTATCTTAGGTGAATTGTAATAGAATATGCTTGAATATAAATCCAGACCGTATATATTAGAATAGCCTATTTGAGTAAGAAAATGTTTTATGAATTTCTAGCTTAAAATAATAAATTTGCGAATTTTCGTGATTTTTACGTACTATGTTGTCAAAATTCAAACTTTGAATGCTTATAAAAAAATTCGTGCATATGTATTTTTAATGTTTTTCATCTGCTATTGTAACAATGTGTTAGGTATCTTGAATTAAATTATCAAGCTTTTCTACCCAACAAATACATTTTTATCGATATTTATAGAAAAAAAAAACTAAAAAAGTTGAAAAATTAAAATGTCAGTAAACAGCTTAAAACTAATCAAAATATTTTTAAAATCTTATCAAATATAAAAAATGCATATATAAATATTCAGTGAAAATTTCAAGTATCTGTGGTCATTTGTTTTAGAGTTACACCAAAATAAGAAAATCGCTAAATGAGAAATCTAGGTAGTGAAAATCCAATGTTGTAAAAATTTAAATTTTAAACGCT